CCTTTCCCCAAAGCCAGTCATAAAACCTAAAAACACTAGTCTTTCTCCAGGCTTTCTGTATAACAGCTGGCCATAAAGAACTTGGACAGGCCGGGCGCGGTGGCTCAAGCCTGTAATCCCAGCACTTTGGGAGGCCGAGGCGGGTGGATCACGAGGTCAAGAGATAGAGACCATCCTGGTCAACATGGTGATACCCCGTCTCTACTAAAAATACAAAAACATTAGCTGGGCATGGTGGTGCGTGCCTGTAATCCCAGCTACTCAGGAGGCTGAGGCGGGAGAATTGCCTGAACCCAGGAGGCGGAGGTTGCGGTGAGCCGAGATCGCGCCATTGCACTCCAGCCAGGGAAACATGAGTGAAACCCCCTCAAAAAAAAAAAAAAAAAAAAAAGAACTTGGACAATGAGGATGTTCTAAAGAACTTGGTCCTGCCCCATGCCTGGAAGGAAGAAATGTCACAACAGAGAGGCCAAGAAGAACCTGAGGAGACAGGCCTTGCAGGGCTTCCCCACTCAGCCTATTTCCATCAGCTCACACCCTTTTTTCCAATCGCATTTCCATATGGCGGTCAGTGCTTCTTCAAACCTAAGCAAAAACTAGAGAGTTCCTCTGGGTCTTTGGGCCTTCGTTCTGAAAGTCCTATGTCATGCATGATTGAACATATGTGCTTTGCTTTTCTATTGTTAATCTTTGTAATGGGGTGTCAGCCATGACCCTTATGATGGGGTAGACAGGGATCACCCCCTTTCCGCCCCTACAGAGTGAATCAAAGAAGGTTCTGAGCACCACTCTGCTGATGGAATTCATGCATGGAACCCATGTCTCCTGTCAGCCCAAAGCCCCTCCCTTCAGCGCTGAGGAAGGAGGGACCTGCCAGGTCTAGACCTGACGGGCCCGCCTCAGTGTAGAAGAGCAGCAGAAGCACACCTTGGGGATGACTGGCACCTGGTCTTACCTACCAAAAATGCCTGAGGATCTGCTCTGATCCTGTGATGGCTGCTGCATCACAAAGTGATGCTGATGGAACAAAGGCCCCCGCAAACTTGTCCATGTCCTAATCCCCAGAACCTTAGACTACGGCACCTCACATAGCAAAGGGACACTTTGCAGATGTCATTGATTAGGGAAGCTGAGATGAGAACATCCTGGGTAATCCACAGGGGCCCTGAATCCAATGGCAAATATCCCTATGAGAAAAAGAAGAGAAGATGGACACCCAGGAGGAGGCCATGTGAAGACGGAAGCAGAGCCGGGAGCTGTGCAGCCACTTGCCAAGGAATGTCGGCAGCTGCCAGAAGCCGAAAAAGGTAGGGAAAGACTTTCCATGCAGCCTCTGGAGGGAGGGCAGCCCTGACAGCAGCCTGATTTCTGGTTTTGGATTCTGTGAGCCAAGAATAAATTTTTGTTGTCTTAAGCCTCCCAGTTTGTGGTGATTTGCTATGGAAGCCCTAGTAAATGAACACTGTTACTAAGTAACACTTCTGTGTCAAGTCAGGATAGCAAAGGCTGCCTTGGCTTAGGCTGAGTCTGACAGCCACGGTTCCCAAGTGACGGAATAACTGCCAGGGGAAGCCATGGAATCTGCACCCTGTAGATCTGACAGGTAAGATATTCTCAAGGCAGTAGGATCTCATTTCAACCTGCCCAAGGAAACTGTTTCACCTGTTGGCCCAGTCCACAGTTACAAGACTAAAGGCAAAAGGAACTACATGTATTAATAAAAACCGAGGTCTCGTTGATTAAGTGGTTCCCATAGGGTGAGATGGCAATTCTGACCCTGAGACACACCCAGACGTACTGAACAAGTAGGCAAATGAGGCACAGGCAATGGGAGCGGGTTTCTCACTGTTGAAGTGGAAGGTGAGAGACAAGCAGGGAAAAGGTGAGAATGATCCATGGGCAACAGATTAGAGCTGGAGACAGCAGTGTGGACTCACAGAAACAGATGGCTCCATGCAGAAGTATTTACTGATGTGTGTATATGCACAAGTCAGTACACACATAGACATTTCCTTGCTGCATCAGCTGAGAGGACCTAAAAGCAATGCCACCGCAGTAGAAATGAGCATACCAGCATCCAGCTTGTGGTTTCTAATACCATCTCCAACAGAGGGGAGCAGGGCTCCCTAGAGAAATGGCTGAACCTAAGACTGGATCAGGGAATACACAAGATGAATCTAGGGCATCTAGCAATACCGGAAAGCAAGGAAGTGCTCAAAAATAAACAAACATAGCAGCCCACAATGACGGGGCAAGTCGAAGGGACCCAGGAGACAACAGAACAGGCTCCCAAAGGCCAAAGCAGGAACAACTGGAGAACAAAATAAGGAGTGCTGGATTACAACCCAACCTAAAGCATAAAGTAAGTATCTGTGAGTCCATAATGATATAACTGGATGAGTAAATAAATGCAAGAAAACAGATAAACTCCCTGCACAGAAGAATTCCAAATAACATATGTAGATACTTTCCCCTTAAGGAGATGAAGCATAAATAACTCCTCCCTCCAGAAGCACAGGCTGCTCACTGTGACTTCCTTTCAAATCACAATATGAAGAGAGGGGGAAAGTGTGACTTTATGGTGGAAAAACCTGCCAATCACTATTTCAGTCAGGTAGTCAAGGTCAAAAGCAAAAGACAGAAGTCACATACCCAGCACATAGGCTTGGTATGACGTAACACAAACAGCACTTTACCTCTGTGGTCTTCCTTCCAATTCCCATACCCCTGTGGCAGTGACTGTGTGGTGAGGCCTAAAGCAAAGCATCAATTATGCCACGGTTGTTTTGAACTGAGATTTGTGGAGCGGAAGAAAGCGGTATGGATATAAGTTCATCAAGCAAAAATGCTGTAGTCCAGAAACAGACGTGGATGTTATCAGAATGAGCTCATGAAATATTTTAGTTTGAACAGTGGTTTTCCCTATCTCTGTCTATTGAAATGGCTTAAAAACAAATTCCAATCCAACAGCAATGAGCACCCTATTAGATCCAGATTATGGTCTATGTACCATTTTTCACTTTAAAACAGCTAACCAGGGCTCCTTGGAGAAACAGCTGATTCCAGAATTGGGGCAATAAATCTGACTGCAACTTCCTCTTACTGTTGGAACTTCAAAACTTATGCTGACCTGCAGAACCCTCTGCCTCGCTCCCTCTCCAGTCCCATCTACTCCCTGCCAAGGACTCGGCCACACTCACCTTCTTTTGTCTCCTCAAATCTGTGGTCGGCAGAATAATGGCCACCCAAAGATGTTCATATCCTAACCCCTGGAACCTATCTGTTACCTCCTATGGCAAAAGAGACTCCACAGATGTGAGCCCCTTGAGATGCAGAGATTAATCTGGATTACCCAAGTGGGCGCAATCTAACCAATTGAGGAATACACAAAACTGGAAAACCTGTTCTGGATCAGATCCGACAGATGTGATGACAAAAATGGTCAGAGAAGGGCAATGTTGTTAGCTTTGAATATGGGGAAAAGGGACAATAAACCAAGAAATGCAGATGGCCTCTGGCAGCTGCAAAAGCAAGAAAATAGATTCTCTGTAGAGCCTCCAGACAGCTGTTATTATACACATCTTTTTACTTAAAAAGCCCAAAATTACCCAGCTAATAAGTGGCAGTGCCAGGATGAGAAGCCAGGCAGTCTGACACACAAATATTAGCATATAGGTTAGGGTG